AGCTCTGGCGTGCCGCCGTCGTCGCTGCGGGAGCCGTCGTGGCCGGCAACCCTCACCTAGGGCTGCGGTGCGGCTTCCCGAACCTCGTCCACCTCCCTGCGTCATGTCCCAAGGATCGAGGTCACTGGTGTAGCGAACTCCGGCAAGCCCCTGCCTCCATCCCCTATTCTGGTGTCGTGATGGCCACCGCCGTCCAGCCACCATCGCTCTCTCTCTCTCTGTCTTGTGGGATCGGCAGGTGACGCCATTGCCGTCACCGCTGTCGGCCCCATCCGTCTCCCCTCTCCCTCTTCTCTCTCTATCATGTGGGTCCACGGCCCTGACACCGTCGTCCCTGAGTCAGCCACAGTGGCCAGGCTGGCCCCCACTGGCCCCACATGTCACACACACACGCAGCACAGCATAGTAAAATGCTAGGTGCACCTAGCTATTGTAGACAAAAGGTTATAAACCCATTTTCCAAGCCTAGAAAAATTCCCAGAAAATTTGTAAATAAACTAAATACACCCAATAACATACCCATATAATTTTCACATATTTTCCATACACCAAAAATATATATTATTCCAATTAATCCTCCCACTATACAATAAACTTCTAAAAACATATCTTCTCCATCCGAACTCCGTTCTACGTGAAACCACTCCCAAAATTCTTCTAAATCGAGTCCTATTTATTCAACCTAGTACCACCATATCGTTCTATGTTTGTCTTGTGTTGTTTGTTTCATGTTTTATATTTAGCAATAGATTATTTATTAAACGCCGACCGACAGACGGTGAGTATCAAGAGAGTGAGGATCCGGACTACGTAGATGATCCGGAAGGTGATAACAACGAAGGCAAGTCCTAGATACCCCTTCCACCACCACCATACCCTACCACCTCTGCCATAAACCTCCACCCTTCCATTAATATACTTAATCCTTCCTTTTTGAATATATTGAAATATGAGCTCGATTAATATAATAATGATATGGATAATATGATAAAGCATCTCGTGATACTTTATGAGCTCTAAGATATGAAAGGACTTGAGGATAAACACTATGATGGCATGAACTATAAAATAGTAAACCTAATCAAGATACCGACAGGGGGCGAGTGAGGGGTATTCCACGTGGTGTGGTCTACCTTGGCAGGTTCGCCTAGTGAGGGTTTCTGTTAGGAGATACTCGCCTATGTCTGTTCATATGCCATCTCGCCTAGTGAGATATTTCGTACAGCCACATGCCTATATGGGTAGGCTGGATCCCACACCCCGTTAGATAGAAGTATAATTTCTACTAGGAGGCCGGAGTGGCAACGGAATATCAGGAGAAGACACGGATGCTAAGTGATCTTCCGTGGTCCGGTTGGCGTTGTTGCTATGTGATCCTCCACGTTAAGCCCATTGATTTGGCCGTGTTCAAGCCCCTTATATTATTGACCGGATGATATGGTATTATCTGGGTTATTGAAATTGGATGATGTGGTATCATCCGAAGTTTGTGTTTCCAACCCCTGAGAAGCTGTGGTAGAATTATATGGACATCTAAGGTCGCGTACTTTCGGGTACGGGGTCTCGTTAGGCCTATCATGTCCACTGATCATGGATGGGATTACGTCTATCATGTGGGTAAATTTGTACACCTCTGCAGAGTGTATTGAATCTATTTGAATAGCCACGTCCTTGGAATAGGCAAATGCTGGGATGAGATCTTATGATTAGATTTACTTTTATGTGTAATGAAACTGGACTATGTGAATAATAAATTCTTATTACTAACCCAGGGACTGGCGAGGATGGTAATACTCTCCTAGGACCCAACCTTATACTAAACTATACCCTCCGCCATCCACCACACAACCAAGCCTCCGCCATCCACCCCATCGCCAAGCCTTCACCATCCACTCCACCCAACCCTATGGTTAGGGCTTGCTGAGTATGTTTGTACTCACCCGTTGTTGACTCATAGATTTCGATGCTGAGGAAGACCGTCACGACGATGAAGAGGCGTACCATGAGGACTAGGAGTCTCGCGAAGGAGTCTTAGGATCTAGGGTTTCGACCGCGCTCAAGCATGCCTGTGGTTTAGAGTATAGTTACGCTATAGACCTCCGTTGTAGTAGCTACCACCCCGTTGTAATAAAGTGCCGCTTCTCGGCCAAAGAACTCTGTTAGTTATGTAAAGCCTAAGGCTATGCCCTTAGAACCACTGTTGTAAGACCCTATTTTTAGATATCAATAAAAGCTCGGTGTTTTATCAAACCTCTGTGTGCCATTTCTGTTGTTGTGCGTACTTGTGCGTGATACTAGTGCAAGTACAGATGCAGTAAAGGACTCTCAGAAATGAGGGGCCGACATTAGCTGAGACAAAAGCCTTGGAATTTCTAATTAACTTCCTGGTTCGTTTCAACAATGGTCAGAGAAAGAGAGGGAGAGATAAGAGTCTCTTCGTTCTTGAGATTTTTACCATCCTAGATTTGTGTCAGGCTGGAAGAGGCTTGTAATCATACGTTTTAATTAAGGTAATCCAAGTATTGACCTTGTGCAAGTTTTCTCCCCTCTTTTTTAAACCTTAAACGTATCTTCTTTTTTATTTTTGGAGCTATTTTTATACTTTTTCATGTTGATGTGGTGGATGCTGCGATTCTTGAGAATTAGAGGTGTTTTCTGAAGTCTAGAAACTTGTCTAAATCATGACTTGAAGTGCAACATGCATGTCCTCAAGTTTCTCATGCATGAACCCTCTTTTGTAGCATTTTTTTTAGACGTTCTTTTTATCGCTTTTACAAAAAAAAACATATTATATATAAGAAGCCATGAAATCCAAAGCTGGCCAAGTAATAGCCTGTTTGTGACTGCTCTCCACTCTATATTTTTCAACTAAAGAGGTACAGCCCATACAACTCTGCTTCAAGAAAGGTAGAGTTGTGAGAACACTTGAAGAGATGTTTTAAAAACTCCAAGTTTTCTACGAAGATGTTTGGTGGAGCAGTTCTAAATAAGTCTTATATATATACCCCGCGATTGGCAGCCAACTAATAAGATCTTATTCGGTTTTAATCCCTATTTAATCCTCTCAGTCAACTCCAATCCCCAGAAAACTGAACAAAACCACAAGTCGTCTTGAAAGAACGACACGGCGAAACATGCCTACCACGCTATTCACATGCCGAGGCCGATGCGGCAACAATATTATTATATAACGTAGGCGCACATCTACAGAGCATATGAATTGTGCATCGTATATGTGCTGCCAAGCGGCCACACGTTTTTTAGTGACAAGAAATCACGTTCCCAAAGAGCATCCGGGTGGTCCGCGATTGGAAGCATCTCCAGCGAGACAACATCCACGTGAACCGAAATGTTATCTTGCAAAAAAGCTGACAAATTAACCACTGCAGTTTGACTGCAAAGCATGCAGCGCCACAGATGATGCTCTCACTGTTATAATTGAGGAAAATTCACCGTCGGTCCTCTAAATTGGGAGCCGGTGTCACTTAGATCCTCGTTCGTTAAAAATGCAACTTTCGGGTCCCAAAACTTGTCTCGGGCGCCACCAGGAGTCCAAACGGGCCCCGACCCGATTTGCTTGCGGACGTGGCGCTCCAGGCCGGCGCGGACGTGGAACCCGACTCCAATTAGACGACGCGGCCCCCTTCCCCTGCTCGCTCTCCTTCGCTCGCACGACGCGGACCCGATCCCAGTCGAGTTCGTCGCCGGGAGAAGCGGTGCCGTCCGCATCCACCGATTCGCCGCCCAGCCGCGGCTTCTCCAGCGAGGGGAGCACGGCCAGCGAGAGCGACGGCCGCCGCTACGCCCTCGTCGCCACCAGGCTCGCGTCACGACGCGGACCTGTTCCCCAATGGAGTTCGTCGCCAGGAGCAGTGGTGGCGGCCGCATCCACCCGATTCGCCGCCCAGAGCCGCGTCTTCTCCAGCTAGGGGCACATCGACGGCGAGAGCGACGGCCGCTGCTACGCCTTCGTCGCCGCTAGGCTCGCGTCCGCCGGGCTCGCCGTCGGCCCCAATGCGATGTAGGTGGCCGGCTGCAGAGCGATGTGCAAGGAACGCGCCGACGTGGTCGTGGGCTCCGGCATCGGCGGCGCGACGGCATTCTCGGCGGGGGCGGAGGACCTCGTGAGGAAGGCCATGTCCTTCCTTATCAGCCAGTGAAGATGCAGAGAACTGAAAATGCAGAGAACTGAAAATACATGTCCTTCCTTACAGACTGGAGAACTGAAAATGCAGAGAAGAGGCAGTGAAAGAAAATGCAGAGAAGAGCTAGCATCTACATCTATGTTTTCCTGTGATCTGAAACATGTATTGAGATGTTTGTACACAAAATAGAACTGTCTTATGTGCAATGAAATAGAACCGTTCTGCTTGCATGTACATGTATATTTTTCTGTGATCTGAAACATGTATTGCACTAAACCACAGATATGTAAGAGTGAGAGGCATAAAACACATTGCCATAAAAGACCATTTAGTTTGCCATTGCAGAGTTATAACTGTGGCACTGGTACATATGTTTCGGTGCCATTCTACAATATTATGGTAAAGTTAAAAGCATCCACACAGTTTTGGTTGCTACCCTTTACTAGCATCCTTGACATTCCTGGATGCACCAAAATGAGTTGAAGCTAAAGCATACACATTGTTTTTGGTAAGCCTTTTCTCCAGAAGCTAAAGCATACCCTATACAAGCATCCTTCACATTACTGGATGCACCAAAATTACCCAGAAGCTAAAGCATAGTCATTGTTTTTGCCAAGCCTTTTTCCCAGAAACTAGGCATAACCTATACAAGCATCCTTCACATTACTGGATGCACCAAAATCTGGTGAAACACAAAAGTGGTGTCTTCACATCTTCATGTGGCTATATGTACACTACTGGATCCTAGTCTTCACATCTTGTTTTCAGTGGTTTTCTTCTTGGCAGCAGCCTTTTTTGGTGCAGCTGGTACCCTTTTCCTTTTTGCTGCAGCCTTGCCTTCGTTGGTAGCTGTAGTTAGAGGCAATGGTCTTGCCATTGGCCTGTTGGAGCTGATAAAGAATGAATCTGGGAGGGACCTCCATGACTGGATGGAATGGCCTGTGAACCCTGATTAATGCAACAGATCATGTACATAAGTGCATACATGAAACTCAGATTGGACAGCATAAATGTGTTAAGGTTTTTGGTGAACTGCAGTACCTCTTCCATCATTTGAAGGAGCATTGTAGAACTCAGGTTGGACAGCAGATTGGAGTAGGAATGATCACCAGCCTGTGTTAGGTGCTCATACGTTGTTGCAGCTGTTTCTGTGAAAACCTGTGAAGGTTGTGGAGCATCCTGGCTAACCATCTGAGAAATAGGGATTTGTTCCTACAACAGTACAATGGTTAGTATCTAAAGTGCATACTGTAAGCTATTGATTGAATGAAACTTGTACCTCCATTGATGTGTCAGCAACATCAAGATTGGGTTGGTTCTGGTTTCCTTCTGCTTGCAGTGGGTCATCTGTGACATAATCCTCTGGATTGATCCCTGCCTTTTTTAGAAAACAGCCTCTGACATTATGGTTTTCTCCTTTACAGTAGCTGCACTTGATGACCACTCCATGCTTGGAGATTGATGGTCCATTTTTCCCTTGTACTTCTTGTGGCTCCTTCCTCCTACACCTAGGTGGCCTCCCTACCTTTTTCTCATACTTAGGTGGAAGGACTGTAGGACCATTGACCTTTTCCCAAAGTGTGCCATCTCTGCATGGAATGATGTTGCTTCCATAAGCCCTGTTGAATGCTTCAAGAGAGTAGCACTCATGGACAACACTCTCAACTGGAATCCTCTCATGCCTTAAGCATGAAATGGCATGTTGACATGGAATTCCTGTCAAGTTCCACTTTCTGCATTCACAGACCTTTGTCCCAATGTTGACAATGTACTGAAAATCTCTCTCAATCACTTGGAATATGCCCTGTCCAGATGACATTGCATAGCACAAGTTGGCAAGCTCTGCATTCTTAGACACCTTCTTCCTAATCTTTGGGCATATGGGTCCAACAAACTTATCAACCATTTCCATTTGCTTATTGTAGAACCTAGTCATCAACTGTTGCTTGATCTTTTCTAGCATGCTAAGAATTGGCAGTTCCCTAGCCTCTAAAATGTAACTGTTGAAGACTTCACAACTATTGTTCAATAACAAGTCAATCTTAGGAAATTCAGAAAAGTAAGCCCTCACCCATGTGTTTGGTGCCATCCTGTCCAACCATTTGTAGGCATGTAGACTTAGTCCTTTCATCTTCTCCATGTGATGTTCCCACTTCTGCACTGTACTAGCCCTTGCACATGTCCATAGCTGGTTCTTCAAAATTTCTCCTTTGAAACCAGCATCCTTGAAGTTTGCATACAGATGTCTGACACAAAATCTATGTTCAGACTCGGGAAATGTTTCTTCAACTGCTGGAATTAGTCCCTACAATAGCATAGGACAAGTGTCAGAAAATGTGCAATGCTGCAAACAATTGGAAATGTTGTGCTGCAGCTTTACCTTTTGTTTATCAGTCATTATGGTCTATGGGTATGTGTTGAGAATGCCCAAATCCTTCTTTAGAGTTTCCAGAAACCACTTCCATGTTGCCTTGGACTCTACCTCCACAACAGCAATTGCAATAGGAAATATGCAGTCATTACCATCTATCCCTACTGTTGTTAGTATCTGTCCCCCAAACTTGGTTTTGATATGGCAGCCATCCAAACAGATCAGTGGTCTACATCCACTAAGATAGCCCCTTTTACAAGCATCTAGTGACATGTACAGTGTGGAGAAGTGATTGAGCTCCATATTCAAGAAGAATGAACTCCCTGGATTGCTTCTTCTGATCTCCTGTCCATAGTCCCACAACTGGTTGTACTGCTCACTCTCATCCCCATAGATCTTCTGCATTGCTAACTTTCTAGCGCTAGCTAATTTAGACCTTGAAGGAGTTAGGTTCCAGTCCTTCTGAACTGTTTTTGCAAAGCTGGCAAGGGTCATCTTGTCATTAGCCCGGAAAGACTCTAAATACTTTTCTGCCAACCAATTTGAAGTGCACCTTTTAAGGACCCATTCCTTCTGATAATTGTGGGTTAAGTCTTCACCATAAAGGTCTTCACCCTACTGTCATAAGAAACATAAAGGTTCCAGGGGCCACCTTCAGCACAGTGTGCCCTGATCCTCTTCTGGTCATTCCTTGGCATCTTGATGTCCACCCTGTTTTTCATGCTATACTCATTAATTGCAGCTCTAACCATTTCCACTGAATCAAATACCATCCCAACCTTAAAAACAGGAGCATTCAGGTCCTCTGATCTAAAACTACTGAACCTGAGATTCACTCTTCTTCATCAACTGGAACTTCCAAGACTTGATCATCTTCACTCGATAAGTCATCTGTGTCATCAACTGTTACAACCACTCTCTGTCCCTTTAGCCTGTTGCCTCTTGCCTTCTTTGCCTTCATCATCTTTGCTAACTGATCCCCTTCATCATCTATAATATTGTCAAATAGGTCATCATCTCCTTCTTCTACATCATTGTCACTATCCATAAAATAGTCTGGATCTTCACTGTCCTCCTCACTACCACTGGCATTGACCTCACCATGGATTGAGTCATTGTGATCATTCTTCCTTAAGTCTCTATAAAAAAACAGGCAGTTTCTCTGCTCTCTGATCCAGGACCTGCACCTTCATAGGGCTGATGACTTTGGGAAGCTCTGAAACCGGGTTCACCACCACATCATCCCAATCAACACCTCCAAAAGTGTCATCAGGGTCAAAGTACACAACCAAAGTCTTCACCTTGTGCACCACTGAACACATAGCATTTGTGTCTGCGTCACAAGTAATAACCCTCAATCCATCTGCTAATTGTTTTCCTGGCAGCAACCACAACACCTTCATAGCAATGTTCTTCTCATACACAAGCTCCTCACTGAAGTCATCAAACCACAAGGTGGACCATGTGTCTGCCTCACAGTAATCAAACCAGCTTATCCTCTCATCGACATAAGAGCTCAGATCCCCAAACCCCACGAAAAAACCACCATGGTGAACCTCAACTGTGAACTGACCAGCATTGTCACCTACATAATTGTACAAAGAGGAGAAATACACGACATCAGAACCCCAACCCACGAACGAAAACCCCAATTTCTGTAAAATCGTCGCCTGAACAGCAAACCCTAGGCCCCAAGATTCGATCTTTCTCTACCAAACATCAATCATTGAGGTCTACTTATCCATCCAGTGAACTAAACACAACAGAAATTTCAAGGATTTGGGTACCAAGAACTGACCATACGACGGAGGAGGCTCGCCCTTTCGTCGCAGCTTCGCTGCAATCGCGGCCGCCTCTGCGCCGGGCTGCTGGTAGCCCGCCGTCGCGTCCTCCAGCCACCTGCTTCCTTCTCTTCCTTCCCTTCAAGCGCCGGCCGCCTTCGCCCCGGTGGTCCGCCGTGACCACCGAGAACTCCAACACACGCACGTGGAGTAGGAATCGCCTAAATTCCCGCCGTGTCCATGTCGTCCACCACGCTGGCGGTCCACGTCTGCTGGCGGATCGGGTCGAGGCCCGTTTGGACCTGTGGTTGCGCCCAGGACAAGTTACAGCACTCGTAAATGTCATTTTGGACCACCTGACAACTTTAGGGACCGCCCCGTGAATTTTTCTCAATTATTTATAGACATCCACCCAAGTTGCCCTGCTCAGACGAAGCTAGCTTCCTAGCTGCGTACTACTATAGCTAGTTTTGCTCACAGCACAAGCAGATCTAGGCCATGTTTAGTTACTCCTGATTCCAGAATTTGACACTATACAAAAAAAAAGATTCCTCGTCACATCAAACTTGTGGTACATGTATGGAGTACTAAATGTTGACGAAATTAAAAACTAATTGCACAGTTTAACAGATTTCATGGTATTTAACGTTTTGGCTCAATTACCAACGACCTGGACAATTATTATCAAATAAAAACAAAAGTGCACTGTAGCTACAGTGCACCGAAATTTCGGCGGCGCCGATTCGGTGCGTGAACTAAACACGGCCCTAGAGAGAGGAGAAAGCATAAGCAAGTAAGCATCCATCAATGGCGGATGCTGGCAACGAGGCCGAGGGTCTGAGGCTGCTGGGCCTGCACGTGAGCCCCTTCGCGCTCCGCGCGCGCATGGCGCTGAGCTTGAAGGGCCTGAGCTACGAGTACGTCGAGCAGGACCTGTTCCACAAGAGCGAGCTCCTCCTCGCCTCCAACCCCGTGCACAACAAGGTGCCCGTGCTCATCCACGACGGCAGGCCCATCTGCGAGTCGCTCGTCGTCGTGGAGTACGTCGACGAGGTCTGGCCCGCCACCGGCGCAGCCATCCTCCCCGCCGAGCCCTACGGCCGCGCCACCGCGCGCTTCTGGGCGGCCTACATCGACGACAAGCTGTTTCCGGCGTGGATGGGCGTCATGAAGGCGGCGACGGAGGAGGCGAGGGCGGAGAAGGTGAGGGAGACGCACGCCGCGGTCCTCAACCTGGAGAAGGCCTTCGCCGAGATCAGCTCCAGCTCCAGCAACGGCGGCGGCAATGGTGCGGCCTTCTTCGGCGGCGACTCTGTCGGGTACCTGGACCTCGCGCTCGGGTGCTCCCTGCCGTGGTTCGGGGCGCTGCGCGCCATGTTCGGCGTCGAGGTCATCGACGCCGCTCGGGCTCCGCTGCTGGCGGCGTGGGCCGAGCGGTTTGGGGAAACCGCGGTGGCCAAGGAGGTGCTGCCGGAGCCGGACGAGGCTGTGGCCTACGCCAAGAAGATTCAGGCCTACCGGGCTTCTGCTTCTGCTAAAAAGTGATGCTCTTCAGAGCACTGAGTCCTGTAATAATGAAACTGAAGCAGCCAAATAATAAGTTGAAGCAGCAATGTCAAGAGGGTCATTTTGCACTTATAATGAAGATTATCACGTTGTCATGTTCCAGCAATCGGCAACAGGATATCTTGACAGTTCAGTCTAGCAGAACATTGTTGAGTTGCCATTGCCAAGGATTCAGCACTCGTTTGAAATTGTTACGGAAATGGACAACAGGAAATGGACCAAAAAACTTTGCTTCTCAGTCAAATGAATTCCTGTACACTTTCTGTCACATATATACAACAAAATTTGTTTGGATGATCAGCAAATCCTCTAAAAGGCAGACGCTAATCGTAGGGTAGAGTTGGTGTAGGACCTATCTATCTACAAACTAAGAGCATTTAGAAGTGAAACTCTGCTCTGGATCAACCTCCTGAACAAAGTCTCAACTCCGCTCTCAAGGTCCACAATGTCCAACTCCAACATCTGCAATTGCTCCTCCACGCACACAACTCTCTTCTTCTGGAAAGCCTTGGATACAAGAGACCATTTGCCAGGACTTGGCATCACAACTTGCTTCGACAAGAATTGCAGTGTTGATTCGAGAATAGTCACAGCTATCTCTCTTGCTTCAGACAACAGCTTGACCACCCTGCCTCCTTCAATGCCAGAGGCAGCCTTGTTAATCTTGTTACACTGCTTCTGCGCCTTCTTGGCTGAGCGAGCGTAAGAGTGAACCCTGGCCTGAACAGCTGCATCATCTCCTCTTTTGAGAGCAAGTTGCATCTCCAGGACGATGGTCTTGAGCTCTGCAAAGCTCTCTTGCATGGCATTGCAGAGGTCGAGCAGGACGAGAGAGCCCTCGAGCTCCTCCTCCACCACCTTCCTCTGGCTGCTGGGGAAGCATGTGAGCTCATTGATGCAGCTGTAGATGCTTCCAAGCTTTGTCAGACTCTCTCTCATGGTTTGGACAGTCGCAGAAGGCGAAGAGACAGTCGCCTTCAGGCTCTGCAGTTGTTCCTCGACACTGGTTTCACAAGAGCGAGGGCTCGAAGGCACACTTGCAGACCTCAGATGGTAGGCCATGGTTGCAATGGAAGCTTTGAAGCTTCTTTCCGCTGGGAATAGGAGAAGGCAAGCTGCTGCGGCTGTTGCTGCAATGTTTCTTCCTGGCCTTGTGTTTCCCCTTTATATAACGAGAGCTGATGAAGCAGTTGAACATGAACCAGCAGACATCAAGAATCATTCTTATCTGTAACCAAGTGGTGACCTGCAACACAAGACACACAAACCAAGAAGCATCCTAGTTAGTTGAGCTTGATTACAAGGCTGTCATGTCTGCATTTTTGGCAGCAAACTCACCTGCACGGGTGAAGAATGCCAAGATCAGAATCACTGCATAAGATCCAGAACATGATACGGATTAATTAAGATGCAAGTTGCTGGTGGATGAGTGAGCAGCAAGTTGACTTCGCTCACCTCCAGCAGTCCAGGTCCAGGCTTTCAAGCAAGCCGCGTGTTATCATCTGATTCTGAACTGATCACATAATTACTCCGTGGCTTAATGATAGAGCCCGTGCCATGCCTTGACTCTATTGCTTGCTCGCAGGTGTGGTCTCCCCAATGTTTCTCTTGTGCATTAGGTGCAGGCACGCGGCTCCTGAATAATCAGCTTATCATGCTGTCATGTTCTGATTGCCAGCAGCAAAGAATCCGCTTGAGCGTGTACCATGTACAAGGTTGCTACCACCTCCAACCCTTCAAAACATTCTGAGACAGTATGAGTTCTTTAAAAGGGAACAAGAGGGAAAAAGCTACAGAGAAGAGAGGTTGTTAATTGTGTTGTTTCAGTACAGCCCACTTGTTTTGTTGCCCCTCAACTTTATAGGCCAACATGTTTCTGTTTTCCAAAGGGACCATCATTCAAGTCCATGGGCTTATGTTTAGTAAGGAGAGATTACAAGAGCCCTTCCTCATTTTGAAGCTTCAACAAATACTTCCCAAAGAGACTTACATTTTTACATCCCAGGGTCAATCACCCCTAAACCGCCTTTATGTACACAGGTACACTGGGGTCTGGTTACGAGTGCAATTTCCAAGTGCTCAGCCTTTTCATTATAGTAGAAAGGTGGAAAAAACAATTACAAGAGGAGGTTATGCAAAGGCCAGGCCAAAGGCAACTTAAATTACAACAAGATTACAGCTTACCGTAACCCCTCTGACAATAGGATGTATTGTTACTCGGTAAAATCATGCTCTTGTCGAAGCATGGCGACGTCATCCTGGATCAGCAGCGCTAGTTGATCCACCGTCATTGCCCGGGATTCTAGCTATAGTACTTCTTTTCCACCATGATCTTTTCATTAAACTGACAACAACTGATAAACGACAAGAAGTACAGTGGCACATTGCTCAGGCTAGAATTTAGAAGCGCATACCTCCACTCCATCTAACAGAAGTGCCTACACTTCCAACAGCTAGGCTTAAGCCTTTGTTTTGCTTTCAGTGGGTTTCTGGTCACTATTTCTCGAGCATTTTGAAACTGATTGGAAATCCCATTATTTAAGGGGCGATTTGCAAAAATAGGACTCGAAACATCGGTCGTTTGCAGATTTAACACTGGACCCACATTCATAGACACAGATGGACCCACTTGTCATCCACCCGAGTGTCATCATAATCAAGAGTCAATCTTGAGTGTCATTTTTGCACTTTTTTCTATTTAAGACGGTGTGAGCCACGCTAAAAAGTAAACATTACCTTAGGTTGCTTTTGATTTCCTAATGTATCAAGAACTATGAACAATATTTATTGAAAATTTACCTTCAGTTCAGACTTCAGACACTCAAAAGGAAATTTTATGACAGACACACAGAATGGAAAATCAGTCAACTACCAAATGTGGGGATTAAACCCTTCGAATGCCCACGAGTGTATTTCAATCAATATTGCTAAGAATCAGCTGTTCTGAACCCCAGGTCATAAATAAATTTTACTCCTTTCCTCCTTTATGTGCGAAAACAATATTACTTGGTATCTTTATGTGCAAAAAAGAAACCTCACCTCTGTTCACTTCAATGCTCTGTTGAATCCCAATTCACTCCACTTCTCTTTTTTCTGAATCCCGGTTTTCTTTACTGTTGTAGGCACTTGTGATCACAGATCTCATAGAACTGTCGACGCTGCATCCCAGATATTATGAGATAGGAAAAAGTCTACTTAACCCCTCCACCTTTCGTACTTGGTCTACTTCACCCCCAACTATGAAACCGTCTGTTTTACCCCCTGAATTTTCCAAAACCGTCTATTTTACCCCCCCGGACGGTTTTTGACAGCGGTTTTGCTACAGTAAAAATTCATAGCTGCAGCTTCTATGGTCCAATTGTGGTGAAATTTTTATGGTACGCTAATTATTGTATGTTTGAACTATAGTAAAAATTTCGTACTCATTGGACTATGTATAACTTAGTTATAGATAAATTCTAATTAATTATAGAAAAAATTAGATTTTCTAATTAATCTAAAGCTACAAAAAAAATTGTACTAAAGCATACCGTATTATATATTCACTGTGTAGATCTACTCATGTGGAGTCCAATAAAATTAGATTTTTCATTTTATGATTTTTCTATGATTTACTATGATTTTTCAAAAAATCACCGAAAATAAATTTAAAAAAATGCAAACCCAACAGCACTGTAGCAAACACGTCGTTACAGTAGCAAACCCGCTGTTGCTGTAATAAACCCGCTGTCAAAAATCGAGTGCTGGCCACAGAAGAGCAACTGATCTGTGGGCTCTTGAACGCCGTGTGGCTGCAATGAGAATTAGCAAGCCTGTAGCTAAATGCTGAACAGTGTAGCTGATTTTTTTTTTGAAAGATAACAGTATAGCTGTTGTGCTAGATAGCGGGAAGCAAATCCAGGGCATCGATGGAATGAGGCCGAGGTGGGCTCTCACCGGATCGGCGGCATCGTCGTCGTATGCGGTGGCTGAGGGCTGCGACTGCGAGTCCCACCCCCCACGAGCTCCGCAGGCAGCGGCACGGAGCTTTGGTACGGTGGCAGTTGCGCCTTGGGGTTGGGGGCGTCCGTCCTGTACACCCTCGGCTGCCGCTGGCGGTGCTCCGAAAACCCCGGTGGAGAAGTGGAGCGACGTGATGCTGGCTGTCTGGAACAAGGGCCGCGCCACGGCGGGAGCCTCCGCCTCCGCTGTCCGCCGTCGGCGCAATGGGGGGAGACCGGAACGGAAGGGGTCGTGAATCGGTCAACAAATTTTGCAAATTAACCCCTTATTTGGATCGCAACTTTCTCCACGATCCAATTTTAGGGTACAGTTATGCACAAAACACCCTAAATTGGAACTCGATCCCGTTATTTTTTAAAAGAAAATCCCCAAATAATCACGATATAGTTATTTGCGCAAGAAAAAAAAACCCGAATTTTTTGCAATCATTGTGGGCTAAAAGAATTGCTGCTCGCGGTCGAATCAATTACGAATTTCTCTTTTTTTTTAAAAAAAAGGATAACAGGAATTTCTGTGGGCTAGCTAAAGAATCATTGTGGCGGCAGAATTGGCAATTTTCAGGGACGGGACTCGGGAGGCGCACGTCACATGGCTCCGGAACGGCGGCCGTGGCCCTGACCTCGCCGCCGCCGGTTTTCCGGCGTCAGCCCGGCATGGAGGCACACACAGTATTGCTTGGAGCGCCACGCCATCCATGCACAGCACCCCCATGTGCTCTGCTTTTCCTCTGCTCCTTGAATGCCCATCCAGCCATGCTCAATAACTTATCAGCCGTGATATAGTATTTTTCTCTTACAACAAAATAATGCTTATCAGCCGCACAAATCATCATCCAAACAGGGTAAAAAGGAGAAGAGAAAAAAAAAAGGAAAAAAACGAGGCCTCCCCTGGATGGCTGGACGCTTCACATGCATGGTCAGATCAGTAGAACATCACTGTGTGATGAGCCGCTCTGCCCTGTGTCCTTCAGATGATGAGTGGCAGTGGCAGGTACGCATATGCTTGCCCGGAGCTCTGCACACTGCCCTGTGGGAAGAACTGGACGAACCGGCCGGCACCTGATATATCTTGTTCTTGCCGTGGTCGGCCTCCTCTGGCCTGGCCAGCCAGTCACCGTGTGCCCAAGTACAATGCATTCGACCACTAGTGCTGTTGCCACGCGACACGCTGGCCCATATCTCTCTCTGGTTTGGACTAGATTCTACTGCGACTGCATCTGTCTGTTCTGAATGAATGATAAAAGCATGCATGTACACAGTGCAGCATGCATGTGACATGTCCAACAAGAACCAAGCTAGCTGCTGCAGATAGATATGGAATGCCTAAAGTTTTGTTTCCCTTTTTTGGAGAGGCACTGGATCCCTAAAGGTCCCAGCTATAAGTACATGCACACACTTGGGCCTTGGCTGTCTCCGGTCACGACTCACCACTCTCCAGTTCACTAGCTAGATCCCATCAAGTACCGTCGAGAAAGGCAACAGCAGGCAGAGAGAAAAGAGAGACTACTGAGATCGATCAATGGCAGGGAAGCTGGGACACATGCTGACGAGGCTGCACCTCGCGAGGAGGAGCCGGTCGCCGTCGTCGTCGTCGGCGGCGGTGCCGGACGTGCCGCGGGGCCACCTGGCGGTGTACGTGGGCGAGGGGAGGAAGCGGCTGGTGATCCCGACGGCGTGCCTGAGCCACCCGGGCTTCGTGACGCTGCTGAAGCGGGTGGAGGACGAGTTCGGCTTCCACCACCGCTGCGGCGGCCTCACCATCCCCTGCGCCTCCGAGACCGACTTCGCCCACATCGTCGGCGCCGCCGTGGACGAGCACCACCGCTGACGTACGACGACGACTTTGATCGATCGTCGGCTTTAATTTCAGGACAGTTTTGGTTGTCTTTTTTTTGTTGAGGATTGTTGGTGCTTGGACTCTGTAAAGATGACGAATTTATGGCGTTTCCTCTCAGCCTTGAATTTTGGAATCAGGAGCAGTGCAGCCGATGTTTTCGGAAGCAGGAGCCTCTACTGCATTTGAATTTTGAAACCTGACTAGTTCTTGGATGAAGGAAAAACAAACGAACAACAAACTGACAATGCAAGTCTAACGGCTTTCTACTGATGTTCTGATCTCATTTCAGATTAATTGACAGCTTTGTGCTTGGTGCAGTTTCGCCCTGTTCGCTTGGCTTTTAAGCCGTATTTTTTCAGCCAACGAACGGTATTTTTCTCTCACAACAAATCAGCCAACAGTACTTTTAACCATAGCTTATCAGCCAAGCGAACAGGGCAAAACGTTGTGTATATCCAGGAAGACATAGCATTTTTAACGTAATTTTAGTAGCAAATCTAATGATACTTTTCTCACCTTATTATACTTAATAATTATAGGTAAATATTTGAGCGGCTATAGTTGTTCAAAGCTTTGTACAGGAAAACGTCACAGTTATCAAGTATTCCCAGAGGACAGAGGTTAGTATTTCCCTGTCCGATTAAAAAAAGTTGTGGTGAAGAACACACTGGAACCAGGTGGATTCTCTCGTGTATAATGCACACTGGTACCAGAGATGGGTGTCAACATTAAAAAGGCAGGGAATGAACTGGAATACGCAACCTGAAAAAACATTAGCACAACACACACATGCACAGAAACGCAGGCACCACTTGTTTTTCAACCAAATTTGGACTGAGGTGTTTGGAACTCCAAAGTTGGTCATATAAATCTTGTAAAAATTATTAAGATAATTAACATCAAGGCGTTTGTAACCCAACCGTTAGGATAATTGCCTTCCAAGCAACAGATCCGAGTTCGACTCCTGGCAAGCGCATTGTTTTCAATTTTGTTAACCTCCTCCTCTTCCAATATTAACGTCACTTTTAGCACACGTTGCTCAGGTTTTTTTTTCTTCCTTTTGCTCTTTAGGGTTTACATACATTAAATGACACGTGCTCAGGATTTTTTTTCTTCCTTTTGCTCTTTAGGGTTTACATACATTAAATGACAGTAATCTTTTGCTCTTTGGGGTTTACATACATTACATGACAGTAATCACTGTTCGTGCAGGTATACAAACAATTTGGATCCCTCTAAACAAATAAACAATTTGGACACTTCACACATGACGGCCTTCAATCTCCTGCACTTGTGATAATCTTCTTTAACATTGATTGATATATAGGTACATGTATACTATCTCCATCTCAGAAAGGATGTTCGTTGTATTTTCTGTGCCCTGTCCTGTCTTTAGTATGACCAGGACCAACAGCTCTGGTCAGGTGCATGATCGTGAAATTACCCTGATAACCTATCATGTGTCTTGGGCTCTTGGCCAGGTTCACAATGGTCTTGCTAAGCACGGAAAATACAGGAGTAGAACTTCAGAGTAGCAAAATGGTGTTTTACCGCAACAGCTATGATCATTGGCGGATGGGTTCCCTTTGTAATGTAATCGAAGTATCGAACAGCTTCTCAGTTGCCTAGTCTTGCTCATCCACGGCATAACCATCAAATCGCTATTCGCTATGCGGCTGAGTTGATGCATAGACACTTTGAGCAAATCCCTGAACCCTGATGAAATCTGTCTAAAATGACTAAAAACAAAGAACAAACCACCACGCCAGCAAGGAATTTTCCTTGATCAGTATTTTACATCTTTGTATGCGTTGCCTCAGCAAGCAAATGAATGCACCAAGACGTCCAATAATTTTGGTCCTAGATGCCAACTTCAGGATTTGTAACCACATAGCATTTCTGTTCAACTGAAACCAAAATACTACTCCCTCCGTTCTAAATTATAAGTCGCTTTGACTTTTTTGGTTCATCTATTTTGCTATGTATCTAGACATATTATTTATCTACATGCATAGTAAAATAAATATATAAAAAAGTCAAAGCGACTTATAATTTGGAACGTATGCTTACCAGCACTAGCCAGCCATCTCGTGCTGGCAAACTAGCATGTGCCCATGTCATTGCATCTCGAAAAGAAGAAAAGAGTGCATATCCCTAACTGCTTTCAAGTTTTCAGACTGCAGTGGCCTGGTGGTTACTGTATAGTTCTTCTGATGCTGTTTAAGTAGTTAGTTTGTTGTTATTTATCTTTTGATCGACTGAGATGTTACTTTAGAATATCTGATCCACCATTGCTGACTCAAAAGATCATGCTTGTTTTAGTTTGGCTAAATTCATGGCTATGCAAGGTGCCAGTCTTGCAACCATGAAGTTTGCTTTGTTATCCCCTAAATACAATACAATCGTCAGATGTCGGAACTTGGAGGCACATACAATTTGCTGACAACAAACGACGACATGCGAACTCAAAATAAAAACAGCAGCGAGTATAATTATTCTCGTCCAACCAAAACACACACAACAGCAGGTTTTTCCGACAGGATAAGCTCATGGCTCAGGTACTAGTATTTCAAACAACCATACTGGTATAATTCATGACAGAAACATGCAATTCTAGCAAGCAGCGGCAAAACTAGTTGGGCCTTGGCGTCGCCCACTCAACTCGGAGGATAAGGTTATCATAACCATACCCATTGAGCTTGCTGATCGCCTTCTCCGCGTCCTCTCTGTGAACAAAGTTGACGAACCCAAACCCCCTGCTCGACCCAGTCTTCTGATCCACGGCGACATAGACACGGCTGACAGGGCCAAACGTGCGGAAGAGCTCGAGGAGGTCAGGCTCACGGGTGTCCTCCGAGAGGTTGGTGACACGGACTGAATTCTCGTCGTTCCTGCGGCGCATCGAGTCTCCGGTCCTATCAGCACCTCCTCTCAAGGTTGGGGGGACATATGCTCCCTTAGTAGGACCGCCTGGTGCAGGAGGGCCATCGGACGTAGGAGGCCTGTCCGTGAAAGTTTCAGTCGGTGGCGCAAGGTCCTTGTAGGGACACTTTGAGGTCCAGTGATCGCCCTTCTTCCCACAGGTTCTGCAAACCATGAGAACAGCACCTCCCTTGCTCGCCATAGCCAGCGGGTCACCGGATGCAGCTGGTTCCTCAGCTTTGCTCCCTACAATTAACGGGGATGTTAGTGAACAAGAACCAAAAGTTTTAAACAGACTGGTTTTTAAGGTCTCATCATAACATCATAGCGAACAAGAACCGAAGTTTAAAACATACTGGTTTTTAAGGCCTCATAACATCACACACACACAGTGTAAGTTGTAACATAACAATCCTTCGACATACTGAAATAGTGCTCCAATAGCATCATATGCGAATCACAATCATTGAACTATGAAGTATAATAATGATGATGGGTGAGAATGAAATGTTAATTTTAATCAGTGTTCCATGAAACAAAAACAATTCTTGCATCACCGAATGAGATGAATAGAATGTATACTCCTACCCCCACCCCCAAACTACCTAGACTAGGTGGACAGGATTAACAAAGCGATCCAAACATCCCCAAATTTCACAAAGACCACATCTGCCTACAACTGTAGAACTAAGAAATTAATCTAAAGATTCGACCCAGAGAGATCGTGCCTAGCAGCTAGCAATCGAACCAACAGACGACGAGGATATTCGAAATGGAAGCAGGTAGCAAGCGGATCGAGACCTGGGGCGCGGGGTCGCTCGATGAGGATCTCCTCGGTGGAGACCATGGTGAGCCTGGAGCCGGCGTCCTCCTTGAGGGCGTCCCCGAACTTGGGCCACTGGCGGCGCTCGATGGCGCTGCGGGAGAGGCGTGCCCGCGCGAGCTTGCGGACGCGGGTGGTGGTGGTGACCCTGACCTTGTTGCCGTCGTCGTCGAAGCGGTACTCGATGACCTTCTTGAGCCCGTTCTCGTCGGGCCCGACGACGACGCGGGGCGGGAGGAGGAAGTCGAGGTCCCCTCCGTCGTCCTCCTCCAGCTCCCCCCACCGGATCTTCTGCTGCGCCGCCGCCGCCGCCATGGTGCGCTAGGGTTTGGGATTTGCGTGCGCCCGGCGGTGCGGTGAGCAGAGTCTGTCTACTAGGTCCTGCCTGGGTGGGTCGGTCGCTTCTTCGGCTTGCAAATGGGTGGCCCGAAAGGCCTTTTATGGGCTTTCGTTCAGGTTCAGCCTCGAATTGGGCCCTGAACCACCGAGAGACTTCTCTGTATGTACGTGTGGTCATGGTCAGCAGATGAAATTAGCAGAAAACTATGCGTCATACAACAACATAACAGATAAAAAAATCATTTGCTAACAATTAATTATTTTAAAATTAAGATACGCGATATAGCATAACCTAATAACCTATCTACCATATTTGCTAACAATTTTTTTTTCAAAGAGCACGTTAAGAGCACGTTAAGGACATGTAACTACGTAAACCGTAGACCCATGCGACCTCACAAATTGTCCCATTCACAGGCTAAGAGATCAAGAGGATTCATTATATGATGCTATAATATAGATTAATTCCTTCTTCTAATTAACTTAGCGCAAACTAACAACAATGTCCTAACTTTGCTCTAGTAATCTGGTGTGCTCTCGGGGTTATTTTGGTAGAGCTTGGCTTGATTTTTAGCTCTAGCTTTGTGATTCTCTAATAGAAAAAAAAGATTATGGGGGATAAAATGGAGAGTGGTGGGGTATGTCTATTTAGCTCCTAAATTGGTCTATTAATGGAGAGGCAATAATCATTATCAATTTTCCATAAGTATTTAGTTGTGTTTTTAGCCATTTAGCTGTCAATGAGCGATTTTTGACAGATAATCTAGAGCTGGGAGCCCTAGGAGTAGTAGCACTGCTCCTCTCCCGAGTATGCTTAGTGTGGCATAGCCCCTGTCCCGATCCCAATACATTGTCACACGTCTAGATACTCATATCTTCTCATCTAATCCACAACCGGCCTTTTTAG